TTTTTAAATTGTTTAGTTTAAAATACGTAATTTTTAATTTTTTTTGTTTCAAGAAAAAATTATACAGGAAATATTCGTGTACAATTTTAACTCTACCTACATAATTGTAGCCGGTCCCAAGCCCGGATAAAGGAGGTGAGTTTTCAACTATTTCATAATTTTTTTAATTTATAACACGCATAAAATGTACAATTTTTTTTTCAAATAATGCAAATTTTACAAAAAAAAAACCCAGGCAGCTCGGCCCGCTAAGGCTCGGGCCGAGCCTCTTTTTTTTGGCCAGGCCCGTCTTGGCTCGGCTCGGGCCGAAAAAAGCTCTGGCTCTTTTTTTTTCGGGCTCGGCTTGGCTTGGCTTGGCTTGTTGATATAGCTAGGTCTAACCCTATTAATGGGTTTCGTGCCCATTAGATTATGAGTTAAGTTATATGTACATTTTTCTTGACATTGTTGTTAACATTCTCTTCTATGTGTCAAAATTTGGTCTGTGATATGATGTTGTAGATTTCAATGGCTATGATGGATGTCATGTGAAAGAATGTCAAACTTAATATAAAGGAGAATGTATATATAGCATGATTGTAATCTTTATTTATCATACCTATGTACTTAACTTTTTTTCTTCATCACATTTTTATTTTTAACATTTCATTGATCAGAAAATCTTGTCATTAATCATAGTTTTCGTCAAAAAAAATTGTTAACATGCTTGAAAATGAGGGTCAAATATTTAATCGCATTTTTTGTATTATTGTTTGTTTTGTTTATTTAAAAATACAATGGGCATATGAGCTTTTTAGTTTTTATTCTATCTTAAAGAAAAAATTTATAGGTTCATGTAATTAAAATATAGCTTAGTTATTAAAAATTGTGGTGTGAATATATGTAGGGTTGTATTACATGTACGTAACAATTTATATAATGATTTATCAACAAATGATAAAATCTCATCAATCAAAAAACTTCCATACTTACATTTTGACACATCATTATTATGTAAAACGTTAATTAAATAGTTATGCTTAAGAAACATTTCCCGTATATTTAACCATATTATTAAATTGATTGAAAGCTTTAGGCAAAATGTCATCGTACATGTGTTGACATAGGTTATTCCTTTGACTATATTTGGCCGAGTAATGTTATTCATAGAGAACATTAACAAATTGTCACGTGTAAGACAACTATATGTAATCTTCATTGTGAAGACTATGATTTTATGCACGTGATAAACACTTTCAAAACTGATTGAAACCCGTTGATGTGGAAAGCCAGAAGTCTTCATCATTTAAGGACACTGTAAATGAATCCTCGGAACTTAACCTGTCGTCTCGATTCATGGAAAGAGCCTGAATTTCATTTCCGTCGAACCCATAGCTGAAAGGGTAATACCCCACTTCAGGGCCAAAATTCTGCACAGATAAAGGATCGCCATTCCAGTTATCTTCGACATTATCTAGTCCTGAAACATCGGACATGTTCGCTTCGCAATTCATATCCACCGCCATGGCACCAGTTTGAAGGATTTCAGAATCTGTCATTAATTTCTGCCTCTGGCAATTGTTGTGATCAAAATCAGTATTATTTGAGTGGGATCCTGAATTAACTTCGGAAGTGGGATGCATTTGTTCCTCCATAATGCTTGGAAGCCATGTGCAGCGCATGATGTCAAGAAATTGTGTACTATTCACATCGCACTTCAGCTGCTTTGCTTGCTTTTTGATAATTGTTCTCCAGTAGTTCTTTATTTCATTATCCGTTCTTCCTGGCAACCTTTTCGCAATCTGTGTCCACCTTCATTAATTTTTGTTTCAAACTAAATAATTAATGATAATCGAGTTGACAAGTAACATAATAAAAACAATTAGACAAAAATAATACTGAATTTTTATGAATATACCGATTTCCATATTTCAAGTGTAGCTCTATCATGTGAAGTTGTTCTTCTGGAGTAATGTTTCCTCGTCGAACATTTGGATTCAAGTAGTTCAACCATCTTAATCTGCAGCTCTTACCTGTTCGCCTCAACCCTTAAATCAATTATATGAAAGTTACAAGTTTTGGAATAGCTTGAAATTTTTTTTCCTTTTTAAATGAATGAGGAGATTTGATTATGATTACCTGCATTATGGGAGAGGGCGTTCCATCCTCCTTCGCCATGGATAGCTATATAGTTTATGAGTTTTGAGTCTTCGTCGCTCGACCATGGACCTTTTCTTATGCTTATCTCTTCTTCTTTCTGAGGTGTACTGTTGCCATATATTTCTTTGGCATCCATTGCTAGATATATAGAACTAGAAGCAGCAGCTAAGCGTTAGCCTATATATATATATGTACAGTTATAGGAATCATGTGGAATTGGATCCGCTGAAATTAAAAAGGGTTGTGCTATGTGTACAAAATGGTGTACACCCCCCCCCCCCACACACACACACAATATAAAGGGGGCCCACACACAATAAAATATATGTGGGCCCCCCTCCATGTGAGGAGAGTGTAATGCATTGTGTACACTCACATAGCATTATTCAATTAAAAAAAGGAATGATGAATGTTCATAGAGTGGTTATTCAGTTATATAATTTTTTGTGTAATTAAAATTAATTCAAGGAGTTAAGCTATAATACAGAAAATTCAATGAGTTTAGATAACTGAGATTTAAAAGTGACCTATATCTCATGTACCCTCGTCACACTTCTCGTCCCATGTGACTTTTGAAATATTTTGTTGATTCACGGTCTCGTCAAATAAAGCGAAAATTACACGGAGACAGATTTTTTAAGATCTAACTTCACAAATTATTTGATTGATTGTGACCAATAAATTGATTAATTTGTGATTAATAAATAATATGTGACTAATTATTTGAGATTGTGATCAATAAATTAGATATTTTATGATCAATAAATAATATGTAATCTATAACTTGTGCCAATAAATAATGTGACCTAAAAATTCGAGTCATGACTTGTGAAATTTTTCATTTGTGACGATAAATAAATTGTGACCCATAAATTTTTTGATTTGTAATCGATTAATAAATTATTACCTGTAAAAAATTTTATTTGTAACATAAATTTTTTAATTCTGGATTGAGAAATAATTCGTGATCAAATAGTATAAAATTGTGAACTTAATATATTTTAATTTAATCATTTCATAAAAAAAATTTTATTAGTATCTTATTTTTAAAGTTTTAAATCTTGTTTCTTAGTTTTGAAATATGAGTCTCTTACCTATGAAATTTTTCCACAAATAAATCAACGAATCATTGCCAATTTTGACTTTGAAGTCTTCATCCCCTGTTGATTAAAGTTGACAGATGCTTCGAAGTGCACTTTTTTACATCTTTTGCGTTGAATAAGGTGCCAACCAGCATAATATTTTGAATCAATATGTGAAGTATTTATTAAAAATAGAAAGAAATAAAACTGAAAATGCAGAAAATTAGACAGACTTATTTTAATAGGAGATACTTTGGAATATATCCTTTTCTCTTTTGCCATTACCAACGCTACGATATTTATAGTTTATTATGCAGTGAAGGAATCCAATTCAATGTAGTTGTTATATGGTGATGGAAATATTGTTTATTATACGGTGAAGGAATCAAATTACCTCTCCTTGAATTGACCGAGGGTGGTACAGGCATTTTCACATCAGATGCTTTTTCTTTTTATAATTTTAATTATGAGTTGAGAAATGGGTGTTTGATGGGTATTATAGAGAAATAATGTATTTTTATATGGTAATATAATAGGAAATATGTGGTTAAAAAATAAGAAAAAATTATTGATGTTATGTAAAATATTATTTTATTGAAAAATGTGTGATTAATTAGGTATACATGGGTAATATTACTAACATTCATGCATGGTGTACACTTTAGTGTACATTGTTGTTTACATGGTTTATGTTGAACAAACAGGGAAAAAAAATAGAGTGATGCTTGGTGTATATAATTTAGGTTACATAATGATATCCATACACTCACATGGGGTGAGGTCTGTTCGAATAAAATATTTGAGCGAACCCCACCCCATGTGAGTGTATGGATACCATTATGTAACCTAAATTATGTACAAGTAGAGTTATTCAAAAAATATTGATGTGTCAGCTTATGATTGAGTGTTTTTAGAATTTTTTTTTCTCGTTCTTCAATGAAAAATTGCAACATCAGTCCTTTTTTTTTTTTTGCTTTTATGTCGTTGACTCTGGCCATGTAGTATGGTTCTGTTTACATTCATTTATATGACAAATTGTGATTTGACAATTTAAAATTAAAAAAAAAAAAGTACAAATAGCAAAGTCCTATTAATTCGATGGACAAATAGTTTTTTTTTTTAATTTTAAATTGTCAAATCACAATTTGTCATATAAATGAATGTAAACAGAACCATGCTACATGGTCAGAATCAATGACAGAAAAGCAAAAAAAAAAAAAAAACAGACTGATGTGGCAGCCTATGATTGATTATTTTTATGATTTTTTTTCTCGTTCTCCAATGAAAAATTGCCACAATCGCCCACCTTAGGGTTGTTTGTGCAGAGAATAGTGCAGTCAAAACCTAACATAGATAAAGTTACATGCTTACATCATAATAGTGACATCAAAATTTAATAAATTGGATATGAGAGAATCATTTAACAAAAAACCTGAAGCTAGTGGCTGAATGCCTTTTGACTTTTGTATTAATTCCCAAGTATCGTGGACATGAATCAAGACACCCACCCAAACCGACCATTTGAAGTCCTCTTCTCTACTTAAATTCCTTTTGATTAACTCAAATCTTATAAAGTTATAATATAATCCTTGCAGAATTTTTTGCACCTTGTTACTTGATAGAGCTGAATAAAGATGAACGGGAATAAGAGAAAGTATTTATCTGTAGTCAATGTTAAGTTGCTTTACTTATTACTCTGGAAAAAGTTGACAAAAGTATCACTCTTTTTGACGCATCCACCTATGCTAACTTTTGTTCGCAAAGTAACTCTCTTAATAAATAAATTATGTCCTTATTTGATGGGGATTGAAATTAGATTTTTAGTAAATTTTAATAAAAATTAATAAAATATGTGATTGAAAAATTATGGATCTCAAATGATATGTAGTTAAAATTTTATTTAATTACTACCAAACGGGGGCTATGTTAGGTTAGACAAAATCTTAGCATTTTTACATGTGAACACAATAAGGTCAAAATGGCTTAAGGGAATTCATTTCGAAAAATGAGCTCCAAATTCAACATGAGAACTCATGTGAGACAGCTGAGCGCGCCCTACACTAATTTCAGTTGTACAAGGATCTCGCGTAGCAGCCTCCACTACAATAGAATCTGACAATGAGTTTACAAAGGTCTAGAGCTCTCGGAATGATCATCTTGCTCTAGGATTAACCCTCGTTCTAAGAACTTAACATCCACAAAAGATTCACAAAGCGAGATATGTTACCAAGTTATGATGCGGGAATGAGACTGAATCCGAGACAAGAGATACATTGAAGGATTCTTCAAAAAGTTAAGGATTAGTATTCTTTTTTTTAGAAATTGATGGGATACTTAACACATTAGCTATAGCACTGCACAGATCGATATGCACATTCAAAATTCATGGAATGCAACAATTAGTTGCATATCCTAATAATTCGTTGCAGCATGATTAAGGGTAATGATTAAGTAAAAAATATTAACCATTATATAAATTTCTGGATTACTCATATGCTGGTCTTTTAAGATAGACACTCATCATAAACCCTTATAGTTACATATGGAGTCTAAACGGTTTCGCACTGACTTGTTTTACAAATTTCAATGGAGTTTTAAGTTAATGTGGCTTATGACCAAGTGTCAAGCTGCAATCTTCAACATCAACCAATCCATGCAAAAAATAACATGACAAAAAGAAAACAAAGATCCAGAGTTGGAGGGTCTCCAAGATGAAAAAGAAAGTTTAGGATTGTTATAGAAATATTGGACTCAAGAGAGAATGTAGAGAAAATTACCTCAAACCCTTCCTTTCAAGTTTACATTTCAAAATTCAGGTGATAAATAAGATGATTAATTATATTATTTTCTCTCTCTCTCTCATCTCTCTCTATCCCCAATTCCGTCTACCCACTGCCACTATTTTCGGACTATCGCAAAGACGACACCACCGCCGCTCTAAAGATGCCATCACTGAGCGGCGCCGCTCTGAAGTAGTAGTGTCGGGACAGTTGGGAAGATGGCCCACCATCGCTCAAGACTGTCACCCCCGCCACACCGCTACAACAACCTACTTGATGTGAGCATTGCGCGATTTGAATGTCGCTGAGTGAAGCAGTGTCGGCTCCGTCGTAGATCCATTATTCGGTGATTTTATTTTTTGGCGTTGTTGGCGATTTGAATTTTTTGGAGTGCAGATCCATAGGAATTTTTTTGTAATTTCAGTTCAATCAATCAAGTTTACCTCTTGGATTATTGATTCCTAGCTAAATTGTATTATTTTGTGTTGAATTGGTGTTAAATTGGGGTCTATATTTTGCGGATTTTGGTTGGAAACGACCTAACCATTACAGTGGTGTCGGCGATTTGAATTTCTGGGAGTGCAGATCCATTAATCAGTGTCGACAATAGTTCTGGAGTGCAGATCCATTATTTTATTTTATGTTTTCTAATTTTTGATTCATATTTTGTCTTGCAACTTTGGTTAAATTGAATGAGATGTCGAAGCAAATTATGTTGCAAAATTATGCTCTTCTGTTTTTCAAGTATAAAGTCCTGTTCATTTCTATGAAATGTGAAGAAGTTTCAACCCAGGTACTTCTAAGATGAAGTTTGAAAATTTTCTCTCCTCGTTGATCAATTGCTTCAAATTAAACTGAAGCAATCTATGTTCTACTTTCTTCTTCAGGTCACATGGAGCTGTCAATATCTTCCATGTCTGGTTGTGTTTGTGTTTGATTTATAAGTGGAATGGTGAGGGTGTTAGTAGTGGCGGAGGGGTCGGCGGGTTGCCCAATTGTTTGAGTTTCAGTATTAGTTAGAGTTGTGGGATTGTGTTGGTGGTAAGGTTAGTTGTCTTCTCAATCATTTGATTGTGACCAATTTTGTGTTGATTGTGACCGATTGTGACTTAAGATTGACCTGGCACGGACAGTCACACTCAACACAAATTTGGTCACAGTTAGTCATATTGAATACACACTTGATCACAATTAGTCACATACAGTCACATTGAACACAAATTTTTTTCCGATAATTTTTTTAGGAGGTGGAGGTCGGTGGATCCATGGGTTGG